TTGGGGCTTAACTGGCCCCGAATGATACTATCTCAGAACAAGTTCAATCCTAGCCGATTCTTGATCCAAATGAGGTACCGGATCATGAATTGCTGAGTTTTAAAACACTATTCCATATAATTGTTTTACTGGAAGATCAAATCTAGGGTTTTAAGAGCCAGAAACATTTGTTTGCTTGGAAAAAATGAAAGGTGAATAAGATATGATCTGACAAATTCCAAGTTGCCCGGACCAGCGTACAATTTGGTCCCTGAGAACTATCTTGCCCAAGTTCAATTTTTCGTAAGAGACAGGGACCCTAACCTAATAACCAAAATGCCCCCTAAGTATAATGCATGACCTCTCATTCATGCGAGAGAGAACCAACCTGTTTGGCATGATTGAGCAATGTAAGAGAGTACGATGAATCAGATCGTCGGAAAACTATTGATGCTGCCGCCATTGCAGCCGCGGTCTCTCCTGCAAGGTCCGAACCGGGGTTAGCAGTGTCAATCCTATATGCTGCTCTCGACGTCGTCATGTCTTCGGGCCTTTGCCAACAATAGTGGTCTGAAATTCCTTCACCCACCTTAAAGAACAAAAACAAAATTAAGTGTAGATATCATAAAACTTTCACACATCCCAAATGTAAATAATATGGAATGACAGCTCCGGTCCTATGGACAATGGCTCTTAAAATTTGTTTGTAAAGGTACTTTAGATCTATCATCATCATCGTCATTCGAACCTTATTCTAACTATTTGGAGTCGTACTTTCCATCCATATGACCATAAAATGTTTATAGTCATAAATGTTATCATCGCCCACTAAATGGATGTACGGTGATCGTGGGAGAGTCGACCTACCAGGAGCATATTTCATGGTCCCACTACTTTTTCTTTTGGGTAAGTGATTTTTCATGGTTCCACTCTCTCTATCATTGACCACCTCATGACCATATGTCCTCTAAAGTCATGTAGATCATGTAGTTAAGTTGCATCGGGTCACTACATTTGTATAATTACCAAAATGCCCTACTTTTTGTGAGGTAGTTTTCTCTCATTGCTCTTAGAAGAAACATGTAAATCACATCATCGCCCCGCACGATCTTCGATGAATAAAATTTTGATAAAGCCCTTTTTATAAAGGATTGAAGGAGGTCACAATTATTTACAACCATTTGATATAAAATCTAAAGCTTGGATCTGTCACAAAATTTGAAAAAATTTCTTTTGAATTTTGAACTTGATCAATAAAATAAATACAACGATTGAATTTCACATCCAATGGTCAAGTCTAATTGTGACCACCTTATACCAAAAATAAATGGTCTCTTACATAGTTTCCTTCTCACAAAAGGACACGTCTTTATATGATCAGCCTACATATTGGAGAAATGTGGGTTTGGAAAATAATATATTTTTAAATATAATTTGATCCTGATTTTTAGAGGATATATAATCCATGGAGATCATGAATATAAATTTTTTTTTTTTGAAAACTAGGAATAATAATTATATTAAGGTATAAAGATGGATGCTTTATATCTTTGGACTGCATATTCTAGCAATGTGGTCCAGACCGCATGAAACAATTTTCCTTCGTAAAATGGTATGTGAAGATTTTTTATGGAAATTTATCAAAATAATTTAGGAGATAAGCTATTTAACATATTCTCCCTTAGTTTTGATTTAATTTTAAAAATCCCATCAAAAGACATGTGATCTTGAGTTGGAATAGTTGAAAAATTTCAGTTCTTGGAATATTATATAGGGACGGCAGACTATGAGAATGTTTGTTTTTCTTTTTTTTAGGGTGAGTCAGGGGGAGGGGGCCCCTACCCTTTGTTGGAATTGAGCCTAGGAAGTAGCGTTGCAAATCGTCAAATGCTAAATAATTAAGGCCGTGCTCTTTTCCTATGAGACTGTTTGCTTTTGTTACAAGCACTTCACAAACACTCTTAGCCATTGGATGTAAAATCTGACATAGTTAAATGTGACACAATGTTCGAAAAATTTCATTTAGGCTTTGTGCGCAATCAATGGTACATCTCGAACCATCTGATTTCACATCTAACGATCTATAATAATGGCTATCTCTCTGTATTAAAAGCCTACGGTCCTATTAAATACATTCCCTATTATTTATGTGAAGAACTAGTGAAATAAAGTAATAAACCCAAAAAAAACCCTACCTCTCCATAGAAGACATTGGGCTCAGGATGAGCTTTAATAAAGTAGTCTGTGCCCCATCGTATGGCATCCATGGCATTGGAGAGCTCACCATTTGCCTCCATTTGCTTACCATACTCTATCGTGCTCCATGAGAGCATAGTCACAGTGAAAGCCATGGGAAGACCAAATTTCACGTGGTCTCCAGCATCATAGTAACCTCCAACTAGATCAACCTGTTAAAAAAGCCATCAAAGAAGAAGTTAAGGACAAGCTTTCGTTTTCTCTAATTTGCTTGGGTTCGGGGCATTTTTGTAATTTTAAGCAATTTGTGTCTGTAATTATCCGACCCAAATTTACCAATGGAATTTGTGTCCGTAATTATCCGACCCAAATTTACCAATGGAACTCAGGTGATTCCCTAGTAAAACTGGAATATATTTGAGAAAAAGAATTCCTTATATATTATAAAATCATGAGATTCGGGTGATTATGGGATTTTCCAGCCTTAAAGAGCCAGCCTCTCAACCTGATGCGACTCCTATGATTTCTGAGTCGGACAGGCGATCTTTGAATCACCTCTCAATGTAATGTGACTCCTATGGTTTCTGAGTCGGACACACGATTTTTGAATCAATGGTTTGTAATTGTGGTAGGTCAATGGCATTTAGGCAATTTTATTTCTTCCTAGTTAGGAAGTAACCGTTGTGTACAAGGGAAGAATATGCTATAATCCAACCAAGTATGGTACATGGTACTCCATAGGCATCGACCATCCATTTTTTTTATGGGAGACTATGGAGAGCAATCGACAGAGGGCCATACGCCAAAATAAGATTAATGCTCAGCATCCATGATCATAATAAATTGTTAAGACACATTAGGAGTTCAATATAATCGAGAGTTCTTTTTTCTTTTCTTTTTGACATATTAATGGTGGGAATGGAGGGAACATTTTATTTTTATTTATATATATATATATATATGAGAATGGAGGGTGAGACGCTATGTTTAAGCATCAACCTCCTAACCAC